CTGTGGAAACACAGAAGAGAGGCTTCTAATGCAGTCCCTCATCCACAAAAGCTCATGACCAGAGCACATGGGAAAGCTTTTCAAATGTGCTCTGTACTGAGGTAGTATTTTGGCTTCAACTTGACCCCAAATACAGGAAATCTCTTTAGAGTCAGCACAGATCCCATTTGCAGTCAAGGACATGACTTACGGTACATGTGAGTAACTTATCCTGAGAATAAAAATAATTTGAATAAGCATATTATCCATTTTTTTAAAAGTTCAAAAACTTAAGAAAGTACTAGTCTGAAACTTCAAATTCTGAGCTGTTAGGATGAAATAAGTAAAAGCAATTTAAAATTGATTTTATTAAATATCTTCTGGATAAAAAGCCCTACCCATGTCCTTTCTTACTCTGAACAACCATCTACTTTGCTGTTGGGAAATTAGTGTAATAGTTCATTGACGTAATTGACAAGTAGTAGTAGATATACGGTGCCCAGAGTAATTCAGGTACAGAAGATGACCGGTAAGACAAACATGACCTTTGCTCCCTGAGACCAAGAGTGCAGTGCAGGAGACAGGCAGTGCTGAGGGCGCTAGAGGATCACAGAGCAGAGAGGCGCATTTCAGCAGGGACTCAAAGGATGAACCTGGAGAGCCAGATGAGTAGGAGAAAGCTAGCACAGGCAACAGCTATAAGGTGAGAGTGCATGCTGGGGTCAAGGTCTAGAACAGATAAGATGGATAACACAGTGTGAGGGGCAGCTACCAACGGACAAGGCTGGATGGAGAAGCTGATTCACAAAGGGCCTTGAAAATGCTAAACCAACTAGAACTTTGAACTAGAACTTTTATCTGAACTGCATGCCAAGTTACTGAAGGAGTATAAACAGCAAAGCAACATAATCAAACATGCATTCTGACAGGATCATTCTTATAGTGTGACAAGACAGTATCAACTGGGATAAAGGAAGAAGATAGATTTAAATGCTCATCAGGAAGCAAAAACAACAGGACTTTCTGGTAGGAGTTCAGAGCCCTCTTACACTACCTGGATGAGAAAGACAAGGGATGAGACTTCCTGCCCTGAGAAGAGCAGTGCTCCCAGATTGAGCCATTTTTTCTAAAAATGGAGTCAATGCAGTGAGAAGTTCAACTGAGTAACTTTGCATTCTACACAGTACATCATCTGGCTTCTACAAATCAGTGTCATCGAGTAAAAGGAAAGAAAGGGGGCTACATAGGACGGCAGCATAGTAACCAAACTCAAACCTGTATCAAACAAACTCTAGAAAAATACTAACAATCACAAGAAAACCCAACAATATGGACTGAGCAGCAGATGATATAAAGAATGAGCATTAATTCTGCTAGACTAGACAATGCCATAATTATTTTTAACTGTATTTATTAAACAAGGTATACTTCCCTGAAGTATTTGCATGGAAAAATGATATGATATCTTGGATTTGGCTTAAAATAATCTAGAAAAAATAAAAATAAATGGGAAGAAGTAGATGAAATGAGATTGGCAAAATATTGGTCACAGTCAATAAGTACCTGGAGATTCATGTGTTCTTTCTTTTTTATATGGTTGAAATTTTCTATAATAAAAAGCAAAAACAAAAAACAAGTTACTTCCTCACAGAAGAAGGCTTAGCCAGCTTTCTTTCCTTATCTTATAGAAGTCTGGAGAAGTACGTAAGGCCTGGGGTCAGGGGTAAAGCCACAGCACTTTCTCCGTTCAAATGCTCTGTCATTTAGCTAAGTACAAGGGATGCACAGGTGGAACCCAGGGCAGACACTGTTCTCTGTTACCCTCTTGCTCCTTTCCTCTGACTTCGGAGGATGTAGCTGGGATTGATCTTTCCTCCACTTATTGCAGAAACTTCAAAATCAGAGTGTGGGCTATAAGAAAGAGGCAATGCTAGCCTTGTGACCTGCTTTCTTTTCAGTCTTTCTGGCAAATCTGGCTTAGGTACATAAGCTATCTATAGGGTTCAACCTAGACTATGAGAGATTAGCCTCAGGGTCTGGGAACAAGATTCTCATTAATAATAAATTTGTACTTTGTCTTGCTCTCTACTAGATAAATAGCCCTCCAAAGGCTAACAGCAGTGATTAGTCTGAAGCAAGATTCAAGTATTGCTAGGCCCTTAGCTACTATAGCATCTTATTTCTGATGACTATTATCTCCTTATCACAAGTAACTTTCCTCTGAAGGGCATTATTTTGGGAAAAGAGTCTTCTTTGTACCCCACCGAGGTCACCTGATATGCTTCTATGATTGTCTGTCCCTTGACACAGTAGTCATCTTCAGTGAAGAGTGTCAGGCAAAAAGATTTATGGGACGGACTTATGGAATGATTTAGAGAAGAAAGACACCTGTCTACCTAACAGTGATTAAAAGAGTGAGAAGGAGGTGGTTTGGAGTTCACATAGATGGTATAAATATAAATTAATAAAGTAGTTTTTGAATACTGTTTATGGGGTCAGGCTCATAGCTCATTCACACATAAAATCAGATCATAGGTATTAAGCAGACATGGATGCTTCTCTTCATTTTGAAACTTCATTTCCTTTTCAACACTGCCCTTGATGTTCAAGGGGGGTGGCTATGAAGTTAAGCTTGATGCAAGAAAGGACTTACCCTCACTAGGCTCTGGAGCACTGATCTAGGGAAAACTCCCCTAAGGTTTAGGAATGAGTGAGTCATCCATTTGTCTGGTATGCTTTGGAAGAAATCATTTGAAGTCCTTTTTTCCATTAATCCTTCTCCAAAATTGGCAACCCTAATATAGGATATAAATCCAGCCTAAAGATCTCTCTATAGTACTTTCCTTGAAACACAGCTTCAGGACAGGAAGACGATACCCATACTTTCTTCTTTGTTATGTATGCCATCCCTGCTTGCATCAGCAACAAAGAGGTTCATGATATTGTCTGAGCCCTGGCTTGGAGGGTCAAAAAATATAGAGCTCGAGAGCCAGCAGATCCACCTCTGCCTGCCAGGCACCACCACTAGAAGGCCCTTCCCTAAAGGCTCTAGCACGGGCAAAGAGAATCAGCAGATCCACTTCTGCCTGTTGGGTGCTGGCACTGGAAGGCCCTTTCCTACAGGTGCCCAGCACGGGTAGACAGAGCCAGACAGATCTACCTCCGCCTGCCACTTGCCACCACCAGAAGGTCCCCTCCTGTAGGCAGCGAGCAGGACTCCAAATAGCCATACAGAACTCCAAATAGCCATAACCAAAGTACATCTACACCCAGACATATTATAATCACGATCCCAGAAATTCAGCACACGAACAGAATATTAAAAGCTGTTAGAGAGGGGCTGGGGATTTAGCTCAGTGGCATAAGCACCTGCATTGCAAGCAGGCGGTCATGAGTTCAATCCCAGGTATCAATAAAAAAAAAAAAAAAGCTGTTAGAGAAAAGAGATAGATCACCTATAAAGGAAAACCAGTCAGAATCACAGCAGACTTATCAACACAAACCATCAAGTCAAGAAGAGTTTGGAGTGAAGTGTTTCAAACTCTGAACAACTTCCAACCCAGATTGATCTACCCTGCAAAACTATCTTTTCAAAACTGATGGAAAAGTAAGATACTTCCATAAAGAACAACTGAAGGAATTCATGACTACCAAACCAAGCCTATAGAGAATGCTAAAGAATATTCTAGAGACAGATAAAGATGACCATGGTTCCAGGAACAGCAGCAGAGGAGGATCGCCAAACAGGACAGACAATTAAATGAAGGGGTAAAGTGGAGGGCCAACAGCAGGAGGGATAACATGGCAGAGACAAACCAATGTACATTGGTTGTAACCATTAATGTAGATGGCCTCAGTTCAGCAATAAAAAGAAACATAGGGAGAGTGGATCAAGAAACAACATCCATTGACATACTGTACACCAAAAACACATTTAACTGGAAAGGAAATTCAACTGAAAATCAAAGGGGAGAAAACAATTGTTCCATGTGACAGGAGACCGCCCCCCTCCAAAAAAATAAGCAACAGTAACTTGCCCATCAACCACAGAATGGATAAGAAAGATATGTTATTTTCATGCAGTGGAAAGCTACCCAGTTATAAAGTAGAATAATCTCAAGCCTCCTGTAGTTAACTGCACGCACCTGGAAATCATGTACATGGCCAAAACAGTTTGAACACATGTGTGTGAACCCTAGCATAAGAAACAAAAGGAGTTAATGGGATCCAAAAGCAAAATAGTTAACGTAAGAGCAAAGGAGAGGAAACACCTGGGAGGGAAAGGTGGAAACTACTGTCAATTTCTTATTGTCTTATCTAGAACTCTTGCATTGTTTATATAATTTTGTTAGGTTTGGCTTTATTCTGCCTTGTTTTGTTAGATATTATGCTGTCAGATATTAGGGGCAGCTATTTTGAATATAATGGAATACATTCAGGTAATCATAGTTTCCTATTATATTGCTTTGAAGTCTTATAATGCTTTCATTCATTCGTTTGGTTTTGTTTGATTGTATTATGTATGATATAATGAACTATTTTGAAGAAAACGAGACATTATGGTAGCCATTGCTGATTTATATCATCTTGTTTTGAAGTCCTATCATGCTTTTGTTCTTCTGTTTTGACTGGCTCTATCCTGTTGTATTTTATTTGATTTTATTATGTGTGATGGTAGGGACAGCTTTTCTGAGAAAAATGACATATTATAGTAGCCATTTTTCATTTCCTGTTATCTGGTTTTGAAGTCCTATAATGCTCTCCTTCTGATGCATGGTTTTATACTGTTTTGTTTTGTTTGATATTATTGTTTGTGAAGGTATGCTCAACTATAAGAAAACAAGAGACGTTATGTAGCCACTATTGATATCCTTTTATCTTGTTGTGAAGTGCTGTGTTGTCTACATTGTTCTATCCTTGTTTTGTTCTCTTTAAAATAAAAAGGAAAAAAGAAAATATAGAGCTCAAAATAATGTTTTCAGCCTCATCTCCTTTCCCATGGCCCCATCCTCAAACACTTC